CCCTACCCCCCACCACAATAACAGCAAAGCCAAACCCTGCCACCACGATCCCAACAACAACCCCAGCCAAGCCAAAACCCTCAGCACCAGCAAGCACCACATCTATGGCCAAGCCAAAACCCACCATGCCAGCACCCACCACCACTGCTGCCAAGACAAAGCCCACCATGCTAACAGGTGCCATGCCAGAACCCACCACAACAACCACTACCATTAAGCCAACACCCACCACACCAAAACCCACCACAATTACCACTTCTGCCAAGCCAACAACCGCTACTACAGCCAAGCCAAAACCCACCACACCAAAACCGGCCACAACTACCACTACAGCCAAGCCAACATCCACAACACCAAAACCCGCCACAACTACCACTACAGGCAAGCCAACACCCACCACACCAAAACCCGCCACAACCACCACTACAGCCAAGCCAACACCCACCACACCAAAACCCACCACAACAGCCAAGCCAACACCCAGCACAACCACTGCTACGGCCAGGCCAATACCCACCACACCAAAACCCACCACAACCACCACCACAGCCAAGCCAACACCCACCACACCAAAACCCACCACCACAGTCAAGCCAACACCCACCACACCAAAACCCACCACAACTGTGGCTAAGCCAAAACCTGCTACAGCCAAGCCAACAGCTCCCATATCAACATCCACCACCACTACAGCTAAGCCAACATCTGCCACTGCATCAGCAAAGCCAAAACTCACCACTACAACACCAGCACCCACCACAACAGCAAAGACACAACTGAAAACAGCCACAACCACAAAGCCAGAACACACTGAAACAGAAAGACCCGATCCTACTGAGGTGACCGAGCTAACTCTTTCCTTTGAGCCCACCTTAGACCTGGATTATAAAGTATCTCCAGGAGTAGAGGCAGACACTGGAGAGCCTGTTAGTCCCTTAACTACAGAAGATCCGGTCTTATTAGAAAGCATGGGCACAGCTTTCAGCCCCAAATCAGTCCCAGAAACAAATAAAGGTGTCAAAGAGGATGAGAAAGAGCAATCAGCCTTTTCCAGTCCACCTCCATCCCTCAGCCAAATTGTTCCAGACATCAAGTTAGGTTTCAATAAAGCTGAGCTCATAACTCCCTCAAAGTCAGTGGTCTTCAGCCCTGAAGAGCCCACCTTCTTGCGCTTAACATCATCTTCCAAAGAAAAAAAAGGGCAGAGCCCTGCTTTCCAGACCTCCCTCTCAGGTAAGGTAATTGTGGAGTCTGTCCTGGCATGGACACTCAGATGTTCAGTGATCCCCAAGCAGCATGGAGAGCGCTTGGGAGGAACCAGTATCAAACTGGTCCTTTGGATCCTCCTCTCGTATGTGGCACCAACCTTTTCCTCACTCTTTACTCTAACAATGAAAGGGGCTGGTTGGATGTCTCGTTCGTGAAGCATGGTTTTGTTCACAGCCTGCTCCCCACTAACCCACCAGCTGTGTCATGCCTTCGCTGGATCGGTGCACTGCTGCCCCGCACCTCGCCATGTCTTGGTGCACGTCACTGGTGGACCTGCATGAGCGGGAGTTTCTCTTTTGCCCAGATCTTCCCCTGTAACTCCACCTTTTCTTCTCTTCTGCCAGCAGGTACACTGGACACTGAAGAACTGGAGACAAACTCAGACCAGACAAGCATGGATCAGCCCACGGCTGGAGCTCCCAGTACCTGCTTGGGGCTTTCACTGTTCCTCCTACCCAGTGTCATCCTGGTGGGCCTTCTGCTTTGAATGGTCTTTCTCAGCTGTCCCTGCACCAGTCACCAAGGCTTTCTTCAGCATTGGTTGTTCCACAACCCTGGTAGGCTTGGGAGACACCATGGACACTTCAGGTTGACACGCTCTCTTCTTACGCTGCCTTATCTGCTCCAACCCCAATGAGCCAAGGGCAGCTGGCAGTCCCATGGGAACTTGGTCCCCTTCCTGAGGAGACCCAAGGGCAGGAGGGTGTCTGCCATAACGCTGGTGACCTTGGACGCTTCTCCTTTCTTCCCAGCCAGCCTGGGCTTGTGGTCCGTTTCCAAACTGGAAATGATGAGCTGTCCCACCCACCTGTGTGGCTGGCAGGCCCTGCCACACCGTGTCCCCAGGGAAAGCAGAATCACTTGGAAACCCGAGTGGTGATGAGACGTGGTCGTTGGTTTGGGCGTTTGTCTGTAGCTGAGACATGGTGGTTGGATTTGGTGGTTGTCAGGATGAGTTTCCAACAAAAATGTGCTTTTCCCCTCCTGGTGTGTCTGTCTCAATTTTGGAGAAGTTTCATCTCTTCCCTCCTTGTTCAAAAAGAGTTGCGCTTCTTTTTCTTCCACAGGAGAGGATTTCTATTTCCTTCCTGGTGGTGGTACAGCTGTGGCCAGTACCACCCAGAGGTACTCCTTTCTCCTCCTCACACCTCTGCAACCCTTCCTCCTTCCGCCCTTCTGCTCTCTGCTGCATGTACCCATTCCACAGTTAGTCCATTGCCATGACTTGATTTTACGCGTGTGCCTGCACGTGTGTGCGTGCACAGAAGAAAAACCTTCAGCGCTAAAGAGGAGTTACCGGCTCCTTCATATGGCTTTCTTCTGCATGGCTTCCTTCTTTGCATAACTTAAGTGTATTTGAATTTAGATACAGATCCCGGTTGACATATATTTTGCGTGTGGTGGAACCCAGTCCAGGAGAAACAAGTCATCACGTGTGCTGGTACAAATTGAGCTCAAGAGAGCCAAGTGAATGATGTTAGAGGTTACCGGTGGTTCTAGGACTTGTTGGAAGGCGACTTTCATTGTCTGGGACACTGTGTGTTTTATTCCCCCGTGTCTCTGCTCCCTTCACATAAGGATTCCCAGAGAGGTGTGTTAAATATGTGACAAGCTTTGCAGACCGGTGGAAGGGACTGGAAGATATAGTTCCTTCTCTGGCTGCAGCATCCTTTGGTTTCTTAAACGGATGAGGTGGAGAATGGCCCATATTCATGTCCTCCCCCACGATGCTGTGTCCTGCGCATCCCCAGAGCACGCACTGAATAAATCCTGTTGTGAAAGTCTGTTGTGGGGCGTGCAGTGTCTCGCTGGGGCATCTGGAGTCCTGGGCCCTGCAGATTCTGTCTGTAAAAATGCTCTTGATTGTTTCCTGAGGTGGAATTCCTAAAAGGCATCGTGGCTCCTGGGGTTGCTGGAGGGTGGGGTTTTTTTGGCTTTCCAAAAGCATCCGGGTGCTGGTTTTTGCAAGGTTGCAACGTAATGTTTTTAAGCCTGTGTAAAAGCAGCAGGAGGAGGAGGAGGTTGAAGATGACGTAGGGAATATTCCCGGAGCGCCCAGCTGAGTGCAAAGCAAAAATGTGTCCCCACCAGGAATTTTTGGGCAAGGAAAGCAAGAGGGAGAGAGCTCAGAGATAAAAAAGAGATCAAAATTATGGCTGGAGCGCTTCTGGTTCCCTGTTTTGAGAGACCCTGCAGCCAGCCTCTCCCCCCACCCCCCCTCCCCAACACACACTTTTTCATCTTTGGAGCAAAGAAAGAAGTTAAATGCGAGCGTGCGTCCTCAGACCCCGTGCTTCTGCAGCATTTTCCCTGCAGAACATCACCCAGCCCTGAGCAGCACGGGGAGAAAAGGCCTTGCACGGTGTAAACTGGCAGCACGGGAGCAACGCTGGGATCAGACCTTTGCTTTTTGCTTTTCCCCATCCTTCTGGCCCTGCTTTGCCCGGCGAGGCTGCCCTGCGGCTCTGCCTTTCCCTTCGCCCTGAAATCCCGCTGCGGGAGCCCAGCAGCACCAGCTCTCCCGCAGGGAACCAGATGCCTGCGGGGTTTTTTTAGGTCATGGTCACCGCTAGCCCAGCTAAACGGTGACCGGCAGATGGCAGTGGGAGAGACACCGCAGAGAACTGGGCAGCTCTGAACTCGCTACGCAGAACCCTACAGAGAGTTTAGTGCTTTATTTAATCACAGGCATCAGATGTAGTTAAGAATCAGATTAAAAATAACCTCCTGCCCAGGTGCCGTGGCTGCTGTAGGCTGTCGTTGCAGGCTGAGCTCCTGCTGCTGAGCTGCTTTCGGGGGAAAAAAAGCCAGCCTTGGGTTAGGGACAGATGATAGAAATACAGCCGGAGCGGCTGCTCTCCGCCTGTTGTATGGGATGGAGCTGGGAGAGCGTTTTAGGACCGTGACTGGTTTTGCATCGGGGTGAAGGAGACTGCAGTGTTAATTCCCTACGAACAATAAAAGGAGCAGAAAAGCATTTTTCCTCCCAGCAAAATCAGGGCGTTTGGTCAACAGCTGATTTTTTGCACTGCTTGATCCCCCACCCTGCTGAGAGCCGTTATGGAGCTGGGAGCAACAGTGCTGCTGATTAACAGTGTTAGCAGAAGCCCATCAAAATAATTACAGGATTTAAATACTTTATCATGATTTGGGGGCTAAGTGAACCTTCTAAATACTGCTGAGCTTTGTTTTCCTTAAGGTTTTGACTTCTGGAGACACATAGTTGTGCAAGGGCTTATTTATAGAGTTCCTTGTAACAGAAAATTCAAAACCAGAACGCAAATCCCCTTTCCTCCTCCCCCTGCACCCCAGGACAGCAGGGCTGAGCCCTTGGGGTGGTTTAATCCTAAATTAGGGGGGTTTAGGGAAGGTGACCGCATGGCAGGGGCAGGGTATGACACAGAGGGGAGGACACAAAACATGCAAGGGAGACTTTTGCAGTGTTTCCACTCCATTTCTGGGATTGGCATGAAGGATGCTCTGGCATTGGGGTGATCTGGCAGGGAACTCCTGGCGGCGGGGAATGGAGCCAAGACCCTGGCAGAGGTGCTGCTGGGTCCTGGCAGTGTGGTGGAGGAGGCATTTAACCATCAGCTGTGGTCAGTTGGGTTAAAACCATGGGATTTGTGGTGTTTATAAGGCTTGGCTGCTGCATTAACCCCCTCTGCTTGGTTCCCCCACAACCTCAGGTCCTGTTTCCCAGCAGGGAGAGGGATGTACCCACTGCAGGTTGAGTGAGGAGAGGTCACGGAGCTTTGTGAGGTCACTGAAGCTCCCGTGAACGTGGTGAGTTGGAAGGGTCAGGGTAAGCACGTACACTTTCCCGGGGGATTTGCAACTGGGGCCATGCTGCTGGGAGGTCCAGCCCAATATTCCCTCTGAGTATTTGGGCTGAAAGCACGTTCGCCCCGTGGTGTCCCCAGGGGTGCTCGTGGGGACCCACCTTTCTCCCTCTTGTTTCTTGGCTGCTTTTGGCTAAAAGAAGGCGGCTGCTCCTCCTTGCCATTGTGGATGGTGATGGCATTGCTGCTGCGCTGAGACGTGCCTGGGCATCCTGGAGTTAGCTGGGTGTCCCAAATATCCGTAGTTACAAGCTCAGAGACAACCAGCCA